TCCAATTATGATCTTGTCATTCCCATTGTTTGCAATGGCTTGATTGAAATTATTAACATTGACTGTCATATGATGGGCATCTCATGTATCTATGATCCAAGTATCAAATGCAGAAAAACCATGACCATTTGATGCAGGTGCTTGTTGCAATTCAATATTACCATGTGCAATCATTGCAGTCAATGAAGGAGGTGGTGAAGTCCCTTGATAGGTGAAATTGTTCTATGGTAGCATTCCAGTGCAATATGGCTTCTTTTCCCACGTATTTGACACATTATAAACCTTGGAGAAGAGCCACCATTATCAGCTTTATGGTAACAATTAGGTGCAGTGCGGCCCTTTCTTGAACAGATTTAACATTCTGGAGAAATTGCATACTTGTAACTTGTGTTACCATTCCAATGCCTACCTTTTGTACCCCCATTTCCAGATAAAGAACCATTATTCCCAGAGTATGAATTTCTAGAATTCGAATTGCCATTTTGAGACTGTTTACCATTACCTGAGAAATGTCCACTATTGTTGCCATCCGTATTTCCATTTCTGTTGCCAAAATTTCCATTACCAAAATATTGTCTTGAATTAGTATTCCCATTATTAAACCTCCTATTGTTACCATGGAAATTTCCTCTTTGTTGGTAAGACCTATTTCCATTGCCAACATATCCATTTCCTCCCTGAAAACCAAATTGATCTCCATTATAATCTTGCTAACTTCTCTGAGTATTAGAACTTTCTCCATGTTCATAGCCCCCTTGAAATCTTTGAGAACAAGATCCTTCTCCTTGTACCACCATTGCAAACATAGGTGTACTCAGTGAATGCATTCTTGATTCAATGCTTGTTTCAGCCCCAAACAGTTGTGCTCGAAAATCTTTCAAAGACAGTTGTTTCTCTAGCAAGAATCACTGTATTGATCATCTCAAAGTCAACAGGTAGTTCTAATAGCACAGCAATCATATAGTCATTATCATATACCTTTTCACCAGCAGAAATTAGTTGATCCCTTATAGCCTTCAAATTTAACATAAACTTCTCAACAGATTCTCAACCTTTTTGTGAAGAATAAAACTCAGTCTTCAATTGATTAATTCGAACCATAGAAATAAATACAAACCTTTCATGCAGGCATGTCCATGCTTCTTAGGAAGTCTTACACCCAATGACATACTCCATGGCATCATCAGACAAAGTTGCAATCATTAAACTGAGCAATGCCAAATCCTTCTTTACCCAATTCTTATATGTTGTTGTGACTTCTTTTGTAACACCAGTTTCTGTATTGATTACAAACCTTGGAGGACAAGGTCATTACCCTATAAAGTAATCAAACAGATCATATCCCCTTAGCACCGATTGGAATTGATAACTCCACTTAACAAAATTGTCATCTTAGAGTTTCACCGTAAACATACCCAATAATCCTTCAATCTTCACCAACTCAGACATTGTTGAATACCAAGAAAATGTTTTACAAACCAAGCACAAGAAATTCCCAGAAAATTCCTTCAAACAAACTTCTGAATGACACTACCCTTTGGCTTCGGCCTTATGAAATGTAGAAAAACCCAGAAAAACTACAGCAAACCTTTGAATGTTCCTTGCAACTTCGGCTTTAGCCTCTAAAGTGCAGAAAATCAACAAATCTTCAATCTTTAATACAGAAGAATGGCTTTGGCCTTATATTCTTTCAATCTTTAACACTTTCAATCTTTACTACTCACATATGGCATCGGCCCTTAATTCATCAAGAAAATATATGCTAAACCCAAAAATCTTCTCACTTAAACATTTAATCGAACATTTGATAGACTGAAAAACCAGAAAACAAGAACTAATTAACCTGAGAAAATCTACAACCTTGAACTTCGAATAACACTGAAATCTTGAACGCGTGAGATGAATCCACCCAGAAATCCTTCCAAGAAGCACAACGAAAAACAGTCCTAAGATCTTACCTCGGCGAGTGATACCATCATAACAAAACTAAAGAAATTACAAATAAAGAAATCAATGGAAGCAAGAAAGGCTCGAAAGCTTAGAGCGAGAAAGAGAAATGAGAGTTTGTTATTTTCTTAAATGGTTTTACACACATCTTACATTGTTATCTCAGCATATATATAGCTTGAGAATACTAACAGATTATCCTAACCATTCTAACTACCTTGACAAAACAGTTATAACAGTAATAACCACAGCTACCAAGTCATCAATCTTTAACTTTAAATCTGCCATGTCATCAGTGAGCTGTCAAGTCATCAAGTCATCTGATATAGTCAACAGAATCTACATATAACTTAGGCTAAATTATTTATGAATACACTACAAAAATTAGACAAACATACTTAATGAGTGGTTAAGGAAAATTTCAAATGATACCATGAAATATGTCACTTGTAAGTCCTTAATTTATTGCATTTCCTATCCATTTGTAGTATTTTAGTAATATCTTTGTAGTAACATGTTGATTGGTCGCGTTCTTATAGTAACTGACACGCCCCAATTCGGAATGTCCACATGTCCATTCGAGTCGTGATATGCTGGCCGACGTCGGGAGGGTGACAAAGCCATAAAGTATGGTTGATGTGTAAAAGTTTGGATAAATTTAAGTTTTAAATAAATAAACCATACTTTATGGCTTCATCACCCTCCCAGTGTCACCCAGCACATCACGACTTGAATGGATACGTGGACATTCAGGGTCGGGGTGTGTCAATGTGGTATCAGATCCAAAGGGGCAGGCCTGTACTGACACCCGATTGGGTGTGTCCCCTTTGGCCCCATGTGTTAGGTGAGTCCTAACTTGGCTCCACTTGGTTGCCAATATGGATCTCCCACGTGTGACCCGCTAATTGAGTCCCACGTGCAGGGGCATGTTGAGTATCTTACATCTGATGGGGAGAGAAAGAAAAAGGAGTTTAAATATGATTACCCTACTTTAACTAACACCGATATCTTTTGTGATAAAACCCCACAACTAACAATTTGGGCAGGTGACAACTATCAAGTTGAGGACAATATCAGTGTTGTTGAAAGTGGGGCCCTCAGCCCGTCTCTTTGAAAATTTACAACATGATATCGTTTCTTAGTACGTTAAAGTCTCCAAACTTAGGAGAAGAGAACCTGAATTCGCTCACATCAGTATAATTACTTTCATGCCTATTATTATCGCTTCAAAATAATTATCAACTTTTTTAGTGTCAAATCACAACTCTATTTTTGTTCTTTTGTTTTGGTCTCAACTTGTATATTTTAGGATTACGAGTATTTTCAAGGAGATGTCAAATTTTAAAATTTAAATTTGACTGTCTATGTGGTATTTTAACATCTTTTAAAGTTGTACTCTTCAGAAGATATAACAAATTAGATTATGATTTTATTACATTAAACATTATAATAAATGTAAAAGAAAACAATAACATAATTAACAAACTGCATTTAATAATCAATTAAAAACAATTTGAAGCTGCTGTCAATTTCTGACTTACAATCTACGTCATGCCACATTAGATTTAACTTTTCAATTAAAAATATTGTTACTGACTTTTTTTTTTTTTTTTTGTTAATATTAAGTTAGATATTTTGACATCTGTACTCTGAAACGATCGCCCATGTATAGGTTTAGGTAGTGGATTCTGGTGTGGACAGTGGAATAGGATTCTCTTCAGATTCTATTTGTGAGGATTTGGAGGATCAATCAATCGTATCTGTTCATCATACATTATACGGTTAAAAATTATTTTAAATTTAAGATTTAAAATTAAATATAAGTAGTATCATATGAAAACTGACCGCACGATGTACAATAAACAGACACTATTGATTGATTCTCCCGATTCCCACAAAGAAGATCCGGATAAGATCCTTGTCCGTGGACAGTAAGTGTTGAGTGTGTGATGATACAACAAATATTTGGGTCTGAAGAAAATCTTCACTTTCATTCTATTAAAAGTAGCGAAAGAATGTGTTCATTGCAGCCACGCTGACCTTTCTCCGTGAAGAATACACAAGTCCTGCGCAGATATCCTGACAAAAGAATTTCAAACTGGACAACCCTTTCCATCTATTCTTTAAAGTCATTAATGTCAAAAACTTAAATCGTGCCGATACACCGCATTATAACGTCTTATGTCAATTAAAAACCGTCACATAAAAAAGTCATACAAGACATTATATTATTAGCACTCAACATCACAATGACAACGTAATCGTCCCATAAAACTGAAAGAAAAAGTGAAGAATTCCACAGCCACCAGAACAAAACAACCAAACCAAACACTTCTTTAAATTACAAAAAATGTACATAAAAAGTTGAAACTTTCTTATAACGATTCTGCAACTTCAAAAATAATACACTTCTTCAACATCCAGGAAAAACAAAAGAATACTACTTTTCTCCCCTGAACCCTAGAAAGCCCCACCCATCACAACTAGGACCCCCCCCCCACCCCCACCCTACCCATGAGAGATGGATATGGTCAGTTGCTTGAAAAATATAAACCACACCCTGAAAATTACTCTTCCCAACCACACCCTCAAAATTACAAAAAGCCGAAGGCAGACAAATAGCTTTGACTATTTTTTCAACTCTGGATCTTCCACAGTTGTATAGGCCATATAGGGTAGCTAGCCCACCACCCCTCAAGTTTCTTGAGACAAGGATGAAAAGACAAGAAATGGAAAAACATCTGGGGGAAAAGTGAAAAACACAAAAAGGAAAAGGGTATGGGAAGAAATTAAAAAAAAATGGAAGCAGATTTTCCCACCCATGATGAGCACTCAATTTTTGAAACTGAAAATTTGGTATCTCAAAAGCTTTTGAAGCTCTCTCACTTTGGTCCCTTGCCATTGTATAAAGGTAGAGACTGTGGGAGACCACAAATGCATGCCCTCTGCCAGGCAAACAAATCCCACTCAGATCTCTCCCCTCCTCCCGGACCCCCACCCCTTTCTACAAATAGCTACTAGTCCTTTTCACCTTACTCTTCTCCTGTTTTTTCCTCCTCCTTTTGATGATGTCTCTCCATTCTCCTGCAATATTTGGGACAAAATATTTACTGTGATGGTTCACATCTACAGGCAAAAACATACATTTGAATTGCATAGAGTTAAATGATTTGCACTTCAATTTTTCCAAGTCATATGTTCAAACTGAAGGACGTTAATGTTTCATGCTAAAATCAATTGGTAATAAAGGGAACGAACCAACACCTTATAAACCGTTACAAGATTTCTTAATTTTCTGATGCGAGACTTCTTTTCTTCTACGTACTCGTACAAACTAACTACAAGTACAACTTGGAAAAGTAAAAGGAAACAGAGAGAATAGTTTGAACAAAGAAGAGGATTGATGAAAGAACCAATGTAAAACTTTAGAAATTTGACCAATTTGGCTTTTTCCACAGGTTTTACCCCTTGTCTGTTAAAACTTAAGAGTTAGTTGGGAGATGTACTGACACAACTTGCTAGTCCTTTCTGGTTACCAACCCTTAACACTTCTTACCCCACAGGTTTACCCCCATGTAGTTAATCCCATGTGATTTTCCGTACAATTATTTACCGTCTAAAACTCCTTCAACGAAATTATCCTCATCCTATGAATCCTAACAAAACTTCTATCATGCTCCAGTGTATCCTATGCACAGCAATTTTCGACCGTTAAAGCACGGTCCTAATCCTCTAGGCTCTACCTAACACATAGGTCTTAAAATTGATTGATTAAACAATGCCTCAAGCATATGGCCCCAATAACTTGTACACGAAATAAACATTTCAATCTATGTCTATGTTAGGAGACGGTTTTCATCGAGCATTAAAAAAGTTATGGACCGCGAAGCACTACGTGTACAGAATCTACAAACATTGATGCATTAGTGAAATAAAAAATCAGTTCAAGGAATGAATTGCTTATTTCGTGCACTGCATTGAAGTAGTTTTAAGAAGTTGAATGTTCCAGTTCTAAACTGGCTAGTTGGATGAGTTCTTCACCCAAATAGGCATTGTGTAAATGTGTGGGGCAATGCAATTGCAACACAGCAACCCAAAACATTCAAACTAAACATTTGCACGGATGGAGGCAGAAGAAGCAACCCTTTTTCTTTTTTCCGGACTACGGACATTGCCCTTAGGAATTAGGACCACAAAGATTTGATTCCCTGACAAAATGACCACAATACCCTTCCCTTCCATGCCTATACAAAAACTTAAAAGTGTCGGTACGCCGACAGCGGATGGGGCTCTAAGCATTCATCTTCTTTTTTTTTTTTTTTTTTTTTTTTTTTTTTTTACCTTTGTTTTTTGTTTTGGTTCCTTGTATTATATACAACAACAACCTGGTTGTTGTAAAGGAGGAAGAAAATGACAGGTCTAGGCCACAGAGAAACAAAAGTTTGAGAATTTTCAATGCATACGTGTCATGGCACCTAATTATTCCATGTCTGTAACCCTATTTGCTAACATGGAATACCAAAGAAATGATAAGATGGCATGTAAACATTATTAGTGGAACCCCTAATCTTTTTGTTAATTTAGTTTAATTAATAATATGAATCCCACCAACAACATTTCTTATTTTAATTTGTTAATACTGTGCATGCCTAGCAGGCTAGCATGATATGATTAAAAAGCAATTAGGGGCTAAGACATTCTGCCACTCCAACAGTGTCACAACTACAGAAAGTACTTGTTCTAATTATGTTCTGACAACCAATCATATAGCAGATCTACCTAAATTTCATGACTTTAAGAGTTGTTTAGTTAGCATGCGTCAAACTCAAATGCAATACATGAGTCCCACTCATTTGAACCGTAAAATTAGTATTATTTTTAACCGTTACATCTTTGGTTCGAGAATAGAATACCCTTGAGCACCATTATCACAAGACAAGTTCTGTTTTCTTCAAATTTATGAGGTCTGAGCACAACATGAATATAAATGAAAATTGGTATAAACGGAACAAAAAGCACGTACCCTTGAGTTCTAACTTGTTTTGGGAGCAGCTTGCTTGAAGGCAACAGTGGGAGCTATTCTGCAACTCCTCCTCTGATGCTCGAGCACCAGTTCTCCGGCAAACCAATCGAGCTTCTCGAAATTGCTCTGCTCGCCGATCCTCTTACCGCCAAAGAGCACCGATTCAACATTCTTCTGTTTCAGCATTTCCTCTGCCACTCCTACCAGCTTCTTAACGTTGTTAGGACTCGGGTCTGTATCTACATTTGGCCCGCAACGTCCTAAGCTTGTCCCATTTGCCTAACATATTACAAGTAAACATCCAGTTATTAACCATTTTTGAAAAACTAATTTCTGAATTGGTCCAGAACATAGACATGCACACCCACTTAGAAATTTAGATTTCAACCACAGTTGGTGCCTAAATTATGATATTCCAAACAAAATAAACAAGAATTTGTAAAAACAGATGCTTTGCTCAAATTTAATATTAAAATTTAAAACCAAGATATGCACAAATTTGGAAAGGTTCAATAGCTAATAAAAAAATGTCCAACTGTTTGAAAACAATTTGGATTTGGGTGGCAGCTACAAATTCCAATTTAGGACCACCTTGAAAATATACCATGATGGAAAACAGAACATGGCAAAAAGTTGTGGGTCAATTACAATAACCTTTTTTTTATCCAAGAGTTAGAAAAAAGAAAAACATTGCCATTAAGTCCATTTCATTTTCTAAAATTGAGAGAAATGTCCACAGTCAAATTAAAGGGAAGATTAACATAAACTGCAACTTAAATTGTCTGAATATATATGGTTTGGAGCTAATTACAAAAATGGGTGTTAATTAAGGTTTAAGTAAATTGTGACCCCATCTCTCCAAGCATTTCTACTTACTTACTAGTTACTGCAATAATACAGGTTCAGAAATCCACACAGTAACACAGGTCAAGATTGGTCCAACTTTCCACAGCAGGGGAAAATAAAGGCTGACAAATTAAGGTAAAAGAAAGGGGAAAGTAAAAAAAAAATAATGGACCACTGCCCCAAGAAGCAAGCTTCAAAGGTAATAAAATTTAAAGCTAAGAAAACAGAAAACAGGGGAAAATCATCAACTTTCTCAGGGAAAATCAATGGGATGCAATTGCAGTGGGACCAAAGTTGCTAAGTAAAGCAAAAAAAAAATTAAAAGCCAAGAACCGAGCCAATTTACTGAGACAACCCGTCAACTTTAGGCTTTAGGCCTTAGCTGTTCTACAAAGACAGAAAGTCCTAATCAGCTAACCTACTCCGGACCAACCAAAATCCTTTCCCTCTCGGTCCTTGAATCTAATCAAAAAAACAAAACCAGAGCTCTCTCAAGCTCACACAGGGCGTATCCCTATTCGTATATCGCCCGTCACGTGACGCGAGATGGTAACATGAAAGACAAAAAGAGGTGTTTTCCGCGCACTACCAAAAGTTCGCGAAAACGTAAGTGTGCGGAAATCATTTTTCGGTGATAGCAAAATTTTGCTTCATTTGGTCTGCGCACTTGCAGCATAGCAACATTTTGGATCGGCAATGCCCCCCACAGCACTCCACGGGGGGCCAAAGATTTTACGTTACAAAACGCCCGCATTTAATTGCATGAAAGCGAGAGCCATGCCCCCGGCGCAAGTTAGCGCCCTCTATACGTGTGTCAACACATTTTACATGTCGTTCTTGGCAGTGCCCAGCCTGGCTAACAGTGTCGTCTCGTAGTCAGTTGCAACAGAAACGGCAAAAATACAGCCAAACCTCGAAAATTTAACTCCGTGACAAAAAAACAGAATTAAAATTGGGAATTAAATGCGCGCAATGCGCACGTTAGCAAAGGTGTGGCGTGTTTCGTACCTGAATGCGCACGTAGTTGCTGCTCCCGGACTGAACAAACGCCATGGCGACGGACTGGTCTACCAGGTCGGATGACCCGTCGCCGGCGATTCGGGCCATGGGCCGGGCCCATTCCTTGGCTCGCCACTTCTTCACTTGCTCGTACTCGTACCTCGCTTCTTCCAGAAACTGGCCGCTTCCTATGGAAAGGACCATTATGTCCTCGACCCCTCGCACGAACGGGAACTCCTGCTTGTTGTGCAGGACGTGCGTGATCGCCGCCGCGGTCGGGTTGCTCATGGCCAAGCCGCCGTCCACGGCCAGGCACTTGGTATGCTTGTTGACGGACTGCATTTGGACCGGTTCGAAGACTCCCGGCTCGGCTGACGTGGCGCGGCAGACCTCCCAAAGGTGGAAGTCGTAGCTGTCGGTCTCAAGCGCGTCGGCCCTGGAGAAGAGAAACGGCGCCGTACTGGAGAGGTCGTAGCACGGAATTAGAACCGGCTTGAGCGTGTCTTTCAACGTCAAGGTCCTGTCGTCGTCGACGAACGCCTCTTTCATCACTTTTTCCAAACCGGCCGTGGCTGACCCCGTTGAACCCGAGCCCGAACCAGAACCTCGAATGAGGCGACGCAGAAAACCGGGGGAGGAGGCGGAGGTGGAGGAGCGATTATTGTTGAACAAGCTCTTCCCGTGATCGGAGAGGAAGCACCACGTGTCATCGGCCTTGAAAATCGGGCGGGCGTGGTCTCTAGTGGCGAAGAGCATGGCGGCGAATATACCTCCGACGCCAGCTCCAGTGGCGACGTCGAAGTAATCGGCGATTCTGGCGTCCGGATTCCCCGATTTCTGCTTCAACGCTTGCTCAAGATACGCCAATGCCTTTCCGGAGAGAATCCCTCTCATTCCTCCGCCGCCGTCGATGCTGAGAATGCAGATTTTACCCCTCTGGTTTTTGATCGCCGCGACGCCATTTTCAGATTGGGGCTGAACGCCCACCAGCTGGGCGGGGTCGGGTTTGGAGTCGGGGACCGGCGTGGGGGACGGAGAGACCTGTTTGGGAACCCAGAGCTTCTGATCGTCGTAGCCAAACAGGAACTTGCTCTCCAATATCGAGAATATCTCGTAGCTCAGCTTATCCGTGTCAATGCTCGGCTCCTGCATTTCGGTCCGAGTCGAATTCATCATCGCCGCCGTCGTCCTCCCCCAAAAAAATGATCAAAATTTCGCCAACCAAAAATCTCGGTTTAAAATTTTCTATATTGATCAGACAAAAGGAATGAATTTCACCGCCATTTTATTCAAGTCTCCGAGAAGGAAAATAAGAGGGAAAGAAGGGGACGAAACGAGGTCGTTTGAAGACGAAGAAGGAAAAGAAGGCACGCCAACAAAGCAGCATGAAAAGCTCAACCAACGCGAAAAACCAGAAAAGCCAACGAATTGCAGAGGAAGAAGAAGAAGAAGAGGAGCTAAAACGCAGAGCTCTGCAGACTCGCAGAGCATGTCCGTTTTTTTATATACCCCTTTTATTTTTTTATTCAAATTAAATAAATATCAATCACGAGACGATGTCGTTTTTCGTTTCACCCCTAGTAGGTGGTTATTTTTACCTTGTTTTTTACCCTGTCCATTGGGACAGGGACGGTTGAGGCCGTTGGTTTTGCTCGTCTCGTTTGATCGGACGGTCGGGAGTCCGCGGAGTTCTGTTCGTCCGTGATGAACGGTCAATTGGGGGTTAAAAAGAAAATTTCCATCTTTCGCGCCCTTGTAGGAACCGCGTGGGCCCCGGCGCGCCACATCCGTCGGTGAGAGAATGGAGGCGCACACGCACTACTGCCGATGCTCGTCTCCCCCTTCTGTTTTCCATTAGGGTCTAAATTAAAGCTTTTTCTGGGACAAATTTGACCCTGATTAGGCTGGTGTTGTGGGTGCCCACTCGTGTTTTTACGTGCTGACGTTTAACATGGGTTCCGTTGTTGGTCAATGGGATTTCCATTTCCTTAGTACGACGGTAAATAGTGAATAGTAAATACCACTGTTTGACACCATAAACTTTTGAAATTTAATTTAACTGTTGGTATTGCATATCAATATATGAAATTAAGGATTTAAAAAATATTGCAGAAAATAAATATTTGAATTTAAAACACATGCTAATGCAAGTCGTGGATTGTTATGGTGAAAAGATATTTTTTCTTTCACATACTGCGTTTTGAGGCTTTTTTTCCTGAGCACACTGCGTACCGAAGTTAGGCGTTTTCCCTCCATTTAGTATAGCTTTAGAATATTAATAATGGATGGTGTTGTTCGCGAGAAATTTTTTGTTGTAACGAGAATATAAGTGGCACACATGTTTTAATAGAAGTGCTGAAAATTTTTATTTTTTAAGTTATTAACTTTTTAGCACACATATCTCACCATTTGTACAGTGACACGTAGTGTAACATCCCGTTTATCGATCACACTGAAAAATCTCTCGTTGTTCGCAACCTAATTTTATCTCTGATATATCTTTGCTAATCTATAGTCATAAATCTTCTTCAATTTTCCGACGACTAAAATTAAGAAAGATATATAAAAGTAAAAATTGATGTGTGGTACTCTAAAAATTCACTGGTCAACCAGACTTGGGAACAGTGAGCTCTGCTTGCCGATTGGGTTGGACAATTACTCGGAGATAGGAGGCAGATTGTCTACCCTCCTGTTTGGTGCTCTTCTCATCCCTTCCTATTTGTACGATCACGATTAAATCACGTCAATATTTTATATTCTTATTATTTTTTATCTTATTATTTTTATAAAAAAAAATTAATATAAAATATTAACATGTCTTAACTGTGATCGCACAAAATAATAATAAATGAAAAGGGCATCCAAATAGGAAGCCAGACAATCTGCCACCCAATTACTCTCATAGGTGAAAGGTGAATTTTTTTAGCTGTCACTGTAATAAGTAATACTAAATATGGAAATAGTGGATAACATTTGTTACTCATTAGCAATAAATTAATAAACAACAAAAAATCACAGAGGTTTTTTTCTTTCTTTTTATTTATTTATTTTGTCGTATAGGATGGAGACAATTGGTTTTGGGAAGTTGACTGAGTGATCACCGATTAACCACGACCATGTTTGGGTTGCCCCTCCGGTTATGCCAAGTTTCACAAGCACTCTAGGTTTCTTCTTAAAAAGTAAAGCGATATTTACACACTTTTTTACTTTTTATATATTCTCGTTAATTATTAGTCATTGGTCTTCGGCATAAACAAGATAAGCACCTTCTTGAAAAAAACAAAGTGCCCTTTATTATTATCACAATTAGACCTGGTAAACGTTTGTTTTGTTTGTGCCGTTTTGATGTTATACGCGATATCTTAATAGGTCATGTTATATCAAATTCGTTATCTTAATAAGTTTTTAACAGATGATACAATAACGATCTGATTCGTTAACATGTTTTGTTTTATGTAAGGTTCACTTATAACGACGCAACCCATCAACGAGTTGACCCGAAACCACTATTCTAAAAAAGGAAAACAAATGAAAAAAGCTTGAAAACTTAAAGTTTTAACGACAATGACAAAATAAAGGATAAAATGAATAGTACAATGATTGACTTTTTAGTGTAAAAATATTATTTTTCGTTAAAGTGAATAGTACCGGAAACTTTTCGTTAAAATTCTCTTCTAAAAATCTATCCCTTGCTCTGTCTAGACCCCACCTAAGCATTAGGCGGATGATCACCGCTCCAAAATGTGCTAATCAAAACCGAACAAAAAAGTTTGGGTTTCGATACTTTCGGTTTTGGTAATTTTCGTTCGTGGTATTCGGTTCAGAAAATGTTATCCGTACTTCCTAGTGTATATAGACAACTTAATTGCCGGGCTTGGATTACGTAAATCTATGTACTTTCTCACACTCTGACTTTTCATCGTTCTATGTACTAGAGGTGACCAAATGGATGAAATTAATCGAAACATGTTTAGTGTAATATTTTCAAATACAAAGCACACGTGAACGCAGAAAGCCGAGTTTTATTTATTCTGCCTTTTTTCATAAAACTACAAGAAGGTTTTGTCAACTTGAATAAATTATTGACTTTTTTAAGTCAACACGAACAAAGGGTTTAATCTTTTGCACTTATTTTGTGTGCGGCATTTTTTTTTTTTTTTTTTTTTTGTGAATAGGGGGACGACTAGTGATAAGTCACAATTATCCCTATTTTCAGATCCGCAGAGGCTATAGGGAATTTCATCATACCCGTAACCACAGTCAAACAGACTCACTAGCTCGGAGCATCAAACCCGGGACCTCTCACATTTTTGTGTTTATTGGGGAGTCGAAATCCGCACCCTTACCTTTATGTGATTTTTCAGCGTGATGGTAATACGGATTGGTACACCCCCATATATCCGTATACAATTGAAGGGACACTTTAAAAAAAAAAAAAAAAAAGACTTCCCTCCAATTATATAATACCATGTGGCATACCGCATACTATCCCATATTTCGGTTACACTAAAAAATTTCTCATTAACTTTGTTGTCATAAACTTAACATATATCAATCGATTAGTAAAGCCACAGAAAGACCACATATGAAATGAGTGCGGAAGATTTAACCTCGTGGACAAAAAATAATATTTACTTATGGTTCAAAAAACAGTCATTGCTTGTAAACCTCAAAAGGTGCTGATTGTGGAAGGAGGGCCAATCAAATTCAAAGCAGAAAAATGTGAAAAGGGGGAAAAAGTCTTTGAAAACAGTAATTTGCTTATGGAATTTTTGCCCCAAAAGCCTGAATTAGAGATTGATTAGCTTAGTTAGGCATAGTTCCTTCCTTTATGTCTCCTCCAAGAGTTGACAATTTTTATCTAATTAAATAATTTAATTAATTATTTGGTTGTTGATTAGGCAGTTCCCTTATGTATTATCGACATAAATATTTGTGATTTGTTTAATATAAGTAAGGGAAGGACAGTTTTAGTGTTGGTGTTCCACTAATACTCACAACACATCGTTTTAGTGTTCCACTTTTCCTTAATGCTTTTGCTTAGTGCTTGTAATCTACTACCATCATGTCTTTCATGAAGATAATACATCCAATTTCAAGCCCCTATGAGCAACATGGGTAGATGATCGACAATGTTGAAGGGAATTAACGTCATTATCGGTCATTCACATTGCTCAATAGTCGATAATCATCAACTAAAGCAAACAATAGTTATTGGTAATCGTTTCCTTACATTTACAACTAATAATCAAAACATGAAACAAATTATGATTATTTTACGAGTCGGGCAGATACATCAACAGATAATAATCGCCTAATTTGAAGTAATTGACGGCTATTAGTATCTGTTATATCTTCTGAACCCTAAATTATGTTTCACTTTCGGAACACATTATATATGCCTAAGACATTCTTGATGAGTTGGGCTGTCATGTCCAATGGGCCCAAATACTTGACGGTTATGGATATTTCGTTTATGGTTGGCTCGTCTAAGGTTGTTTTTCTCGTTGGGTCAAACTCTTACTCTTGGGCTATTCATATATATATTCAAACTAATTTCGATAAGAGTAGACTATTTTTTTTTTTTTTAGTACATCAATATTTTTACATTAGAGGGAGAGGGAGCTCGGCTCAGCTACACAATGGGCTAAGACTTCTCACTTTCAAGTGAAGATGAATGACACCAAATAAATTTAGAGAAAAACACGTCAAACCACACACTTTAAGAAAAACACCACTACTGAATTGATATTGAAGAATGACACCAAATTAAGGAACTTGCAAATTTAAAGGAATTTAGGCCAAATGAGGAAGAAACGGATGACAACAAGTTAGATTGATAGGAGGAATTAGAAATACAATATCAAATGCATGAAGGAGAGATTTCTACGTCAAAGACACTTATTAAGTTGCCATATGAGAACCGGTCTCACATGTTTTTGTAATGCAAGCTATCACGTGGTGCATTGCTAGGGAACCATTTTGCACCACTTGGATTTTAGGCGAAAAAACCACTTGAAAAGCACTAATCTGACAAAGTTGTATCGATGTTTCAAACGTTAAAATACTCTTGAAAAGAGTGAGTCGTGTGCAAATCACGTACAAAGTTTTTAGATGAGAAAGTAGACGGAATTAGACTACAAGTGATACATTGTTTCAAACCTTTTTTTCTTTGTAAATTACAAATTGCAACACGTCCATAACTAAGATTATGACATGAACAAGTCGTACGACATTTTCAAATTTTGTTGCAAATGCAAGTTTTTCGATATTTAGGAAGAACAATCAAATCAAAATTTGAATTAACAAGTATACGTTGATGTTGGTCTCCTATCTCACACTCTAATTTTTTCTAAATCAAAGAAAGCTTCTCCTGGCTGCAGCTCCATAGCGGCTCCGTCTAATGTTAGCGCGGCGTTTCTTGTACACGAAGCCACCAAACCCGATCAGTCCTACCCCGATCAGCACTCCAAACACCACCCCTGCCTTCTGTCCACCACTCAGTCCTCCTGAAGACCCTTTGCTATTTGTAGGTGGTGGACGTGGTTCAGATTCTGGTGATGGTGGCAGAGACGGTGTTGATGATGGCTGTGATGGTGTCGGAGCTGGTGGTGGTGGTGATGGTGATGGTGTCGGAGCTGATGGTGGCTGTGATGGTGTCGGAGATGGTGGTGGTGGTGATGGTGATGGTGTTGGAGCTGATGGTGATGGTGTCGGAGCTGATGGTGGCTGTGATGGTGTCAGAGCTGGTGATGGTGGTGATGGTGATGGTGTCGGAGCTGATGGTGGTGCTGATGGTGATGGTGATGATGATGGCGATGTCGTTAGCCCTCCAGTGGGCGCAGGCCGTGGTGCGCCCAATCCAAACTGGTTGAAGGAAGTCACAAACTTAACATAGAGAAGCAAAACTAGGACACAATAGGAGCATAAATGAAGCAGTTTGGCCATGAGAGAGCTTTCGAGTTTTCGATGATGTACAGAAAACAATCAAGAACTTGAAATGCAGGTTCATATATCCACAAACTATAACTGTTTAACCTTCACAGAGCCAGAAAAAAAGACAAGAAGCAGACGGCGAAATAACCTGGTACGAACTTATCAAGGTAAAACCAAGGATGAGAGCTAATCGCCAGCTTGGGTTTTGTCTTGCTGTTTGATCTTCTCAAAACATAGTATAGTTCGCCAACCAATTGAGAAATGTTGTATTTTTATTTTGTTTTCCTTGTTGGTTTCTTACTGTCTTTTCCTGCAGCCCTGTGTTTCTGTTTGTTTTATCTTTTTCTTCTATGGACATGTCAAATTTTCGACGCATTCACAACTCCGGTTAGTTCCGCCTTGATCAATCGTAAGACGTCAGCGACCTGCAGGAAAATCGAGCGGCGATAAACAATTCACATTTCCAATGTAAAACAGAAGCTTGTGTATTATGGAAAGGATTACTTAAGCATCGGTAAAAACAGAACCTTGCGACGCAAGAAATGGGGAAACGAAAACATTGCTCACCTCGGAATAGTGCCGCAGAACTGGTGAGTGATCACATAATGTCATCCACTTGATCACCAAGAAGATCAACCTATTTATGACACACATCAACCAATATTAAACTTGAAATGATTTAATCATGAACAAATCAAAACCGAAAATATTAATTTACTGCAGCCGAGAACCCCAGTTTCAGCCTTCCAGAGATCATGACATCTCCTAGTAAAAGTGTCCCGATGAATTGATTTCTTTTTTTCTCAAGGAGGATACAAGTTTGACGAGTGTATCTAAACTATCCTTCATCTTGTCCAATCTGTAAAGAAGTAGGATTGCAATCCGGTTAGTCTACCAGAAGCCTACTAGAAGTAAATTAAAGCTGTAGTGAGGAATGAGTTGTAGATAGAACAATACCTCAAAAAGTTCATTTCCAACTTATCGCTCGTTCTGTGTTCAAAATCAGCCAATGCTTGTGATTTGTGAAAATCTGAGGGCAGGTGGAGATAAAGAAACAGATGAGTTTAATTGAACCTCTTCATGTGGTTTAGGTTGGCAATAAGAAGGCTCTTGGTAATGACACTCTCCATCTTAAAAGAAATTAAACTCCGTCTGTTTCTTGTCGAACAAACTTCAAACACCCTTCTAGCTGCATTACAGCCAATTCATAAAATCTGCAGATCCCATTCAAGCGCTGGAGAACGCCTTCTTTCAACTGCATTTTTTTCGTGTGCATTGTTCATTGCTTGGTGCACAATCCACATCATGGTCGAATCCATCGTCCTTAATCTTTATTTTACTAAAAACCAACAGATAAAAAAAGGAGTAAATGCAGAAAAACTCATCTTCTATGGTGGAAACAAAAAATATGGTAAATTATTAGCAGAAAAACGATCTCAATTTTCTCATCTTGTCCAAGAAACGTGGGTGATTTTTCAAAGGTATCATTTTTATCGATTCAATTCAATTTTATTCTTACAGGCTTAATCTTTTTTCCTTTATTTGATACGAGGGATATTAGAGGAGATAGGATTCAAACACAATACCTCAGATACATGCACATCACATGCCACGTGCTCATAACCACATGAACTACAAATTTATACTCTCATAAAATCTTAACCTAATAATAGCCAAAACCCATATTTGGATCCCTTTTAATTGGACCGAAATAAGGTTTGGGAATTTGGGGTGGTTGAACTTTTTTTTTTTGACAAACTGTTAGATAATTCACTAAATTTTTAATTAGTTAATAATATATTTATTTAAACTTGAAGTGACATGGCATGCTTCCATTGGCAGCTTCTGATTCCTCCCTACAAATCTAGTTAAACTAAAAATTAAGAGGTGATTTGGAAATGTGGTGCTTAAAAAATATACATCTATCGAAAAAAGTTGTGAAGGTTTTAGGTTGGTAAACTAAAAAAAAAAGAATTTATTTTGAAAGCTGCTGTAAGAATAAGCTAAAATCAAAGGAAAAAGCTGAAGCTGCTATTTGCAGCTTTGAAAAACTAGTTTTTTTTCAAAGCACACGGAGCTACAATGCTCATTTAATGAAAAAACTCACTATCAAACTGTTTTTTTTCCAAAAGCACTTTTACAAAAAAATTTACCAAATGCTTTGCTGATTTATTTCACAATCGCTTATTTTCATAGCACAACCGCTTATTCTCACATCAAGCCTTTTTTTTCAAGACACAGCAAACCAAATTAGCCCTAACCCCTATAGTTCTGCACTAGGCACCACCACCTCCATTCGCGGCGGCGGCGCGTTGAGCTCGAGTACGAAGCCACTCCACCATTTCACCGAACACCAAGTCCACTTTCTCCTGGGGCTCGCCAACCAGCTGGTGCCACAAGCCCTCGTGGATCCTGAGCGTTTTGTCCTTGCTAGACGCGCGCCTGTACAGCTCCTCCGCGCATGCGGGGTCGCAGACGACGTCGTCGCCCCCATGGACTATCAACAGCGGCACCTCCACCTCCTCGAATTTCCCCTGCAGCTCCTTGCACACTCTCAGCAGCTCAAGCGCCGTCGCAGCGCGTGGCCTCGCCACCGTCCTCCTCGGACTCGCCAGCGCCAGCTTCCGCTTCCACTCCTCCTTGAACGACACGTCCGGGAGCGACCCACGCGTGGGAACCACCCTCCATGTCGGGATCACCGCGGCCACGAGGAAGAGCAGGTGCTCGAGCGGCCACGGCGGCTTGAACTTGGGGCTGATCCCGCACATGGCGCCGTTGAGGATGAGACCGTCCCACGCGCCGCTTCCTTGCCGGAGCGTGACGAGAAGGGCGATCGCGCCGCCGAGGGACTCAGAGTAGAGGAACGAGGGGCGGTTCTTCGGCGCGTGGTTGGCACGAAACGAGTCGAAGAAAGAGATGCAGTCGTCGACTACGAGGTTGATGTCGGGGATGTGAGCGATGAGTCCATCAGAGAATCCATGGCCCTGGTGGTCGATGGCGCAGACGGCGAAGCCGGACTTGGCGAAGTGGACGGCGGTGAGCTGGACGAACCAGCTGGTCTCGCCGGTGAAGCCGTGGACGATGGCGAGGGTCCCGACGATCTCAGTCGGAGGCAGTGGGGTCCACCACTGGGTGAAGAGCTTGAGGCCTCGGGGGTTTGTGGTGTACTCGGATGCGTGGGAGACGTTGTGGCGGGAATAGAAGGCCTCCGGAGTTAACGCGCCGTAGGGGCTTTCCTCGTTCGCCTCCGCAATCGGGTGCGCCATTTTGAACTTGCGGTTGCTAAAATGCGCTGGGTGGCTTACTTATTCTTGGTGCTGGGCTAGGTGGTTGGGCAGGGTTGGGTTGAAGTTGGGTGTGATGGGTAGGTGTGGGGTGTCACAATATTAATGCTGGATGAAAGCATTGCAATGCTTTTTATAGAGTTGTGCTAGCGGCAGTCGCATATAGACTAGTCATAATTGTTCGAAGATGCGTAAAGTTGTCATAATTGTTCAAGAGTACGAAATCTAAAGAGTTATGCTAGCGGCAGTCACGTGTTGATACTACTATAGTTGTTGGAAGATGTGTTGTGCTAGCTTCAGTTGCACGAGACACCCTCATAGTCCATGGAACTAGAGGGAGCAAATGGGGGTGTAACAATATAGATATGTCAAACCAACCCTACTGCCACTCTAGTGTTAATCGCTCATCAGATAATCCTGTTGGGCGATGATGCCTAATGTATTACGGCTGAGCTTCATAGAGCAATTTAATGTATATCTTGCTCGTCAAAAACTTGAAACTATGTTTTTATGCATAGAACGTGAATTTCAGATTGTAATATTGTCAAACTTACCAAAGAGACAGGCCAAATGCTCATTTCCAATAACACCGATGTTGTTTCTAACTTATTAATTATCACCTGCACAGTTCTACAAGTGTGGATTTTTTTGCAAAAAGGCTTGGTGGTAGTCGGAGTAGGGTTAAAATATTTAAACTCTTATTTTCTCTGCCATCCTGCCCATGTGAGATACTTCAACACCACCTCATGTGGGACCTAATTAGTGGGTCACACGTGAGAAATCCACACATTGACAGTCGTGTGAAGCCAAAGGGATATCACCCAACACGCGGGGCTAAGTGACACATCATCATCAGGTGGGGCAATTTGTTCTGATATCATGGAAAAAATAAAATAAAGTTCCACCATAAAACCAATCGTAAACAATGTTATTCTATCCATAGAAAATTAGCAATACAATCGTAAACAATGTTATTCTATTCATAAAAAAAGCTGTGATGGTTTTAGGTGTTTGGTAAACTGAAAAAAAAGAGCTTATTTTGGAAGCTGCTGTGAGAATAAGCTGAAATTAAAGGAAAAATGCTGAAGCTGCTATTTACAGCTTTGGAAAATTGGTTTTTTTTCAAAGCACACGGAGCTACAGTGCTCCTTTAATGAAAAGACTCACTATCAGATTGTATTTTTTTCCAAAAGCACGTTTACAAAAAAGTTTACCAAACACTTTGGTGATTTATTTCACAGCCGCTTATTCTCACAGCAGTTTTTTTTTAAAGCACAGCAATACCAAACCAGCCTTAAGTGACACACCATCATCAGGTGGGATAATTTGCTCTAATACCATGAAAAAAATAAAATAAAGTTCCACCGTAAAACCAATCGTAAACAATGTTATTCTATCCATAGAAAATTAGCAATACAAGCATTCTGCGTCATATTAGCACCCAACAATATACAGGTGCAGACATCCTCCTCCATAGTTGTAACAAGAATTACAATTTTCCCTTGTATCATCTTCGTCTTGTTGACATATACGCCCAGGGAAGTCTAATATTAAGACCAAAACTAAGAAAGACTCTACATTATTGTCTGTGACGTTCGATTCCTAGACTCGTCGTCAAAAGATAAGATCAGCCTCTTCATCTGCGCATGCTGAAAGAAGAAAACCCTCATATTCATGCATAGGCAAACGGAAAATGGTTAGTGTATGAACTGAAACACAACTGCTAGGAATAAAAAGGATATGAGCGGACATAACCAATCAGAAGAGACTATCGACTGTTAATTGACAATGCGGATAGAAAAGATTTCATAGATATACAAATAGAGCCCTTAATCAGCATCAAATCAAATTAACCTGATCACCGGCTCATAGTTTCACACTCTGCCAGTACTATGTTATCTTCACAGAACACCCCACGTAGAAAGAAGTCTGTACATGACATGCCCGAAGCATGTATATGATCCTCTTATCATTAGGCCATCTCTAAGGCCATCTCCAACCAAAGGGTCCAGAGGGTCAGAGGGCCGAAAATAGCCCTAAAACCGTCTCCAACCGAGGGCTAGGCCAGAGGGCTCTGGAATCTGGAAGGGCCCCACGGGATCGGAGAGGGCTGGAGGGCTGGCTGCTTTCGGCCAGCCAGCCAGCCCCAGGCTGGCTATTTTTTTTTTAATGATTTCCTATTGCTGTCGGTTATAACCGACAGCATTAAAGGTATTCTTTTTTTTTTTTAATAGTTCTACTATTAGTGTCGGTTATAACCGACACTAATAGTTTGAAATGCTTTTGAATATAACGGCTAGTAGCCGTTGGATTATTAGGCCTCTTTTTTCTTTTTCTTTTTTAATGAATTTAAACTTCTTTTTTTCCCTTTTTAATGAATTTAAACTTCTTTTTTTCCTTTTCATATGAATCAAATTTTGTTTCATATTTTTTTTCCTATAACTTCTATTTCACAAAATTTGTTTCAATTCTATTTTTTTCGTATAACTTCCTAGGCCATTTATACAACATTAAATTGTAGTTTTTAAATAATAAATTATGTTTGGCCCTATAGCCCTTTGGCCCTCGGTTGGAGACGGTTTTTTGTGACAGGGCTAAAACGAGCCCTCTGGCCAGCCATCGGTTGGAGATGGCCTAACCGATGGCTGGCTAGAGGGCTCGTTTGAGCCCTCTGGCCCTCCAAGATTCTTCAAGATATTAATATTTTAATGAACAGTACATGGTCATATTTGCCTCCGTCTCCAACCGAGGGCCAGAGGGCCAGATGGCTCGTTTTAGCACTGTCACAAAAAATCATCTCCAACCGAGGGCCAAAGGGTCATAGGGCCAAACATAATTTATTATTTTGAAACTACAATTTAAATTCAAATCCAACGGCTAAGTGAAGCTTCGAGTAGGCGTTTACGTTTTATGTTTTTAAATGTTTTTAAAAATGTTGTTTAAGTTTCATGTTGTTAAATGTTTTTTTTATGTTGTATAATTTTTATGTTGGTTAATGTTATTTAATGTTGTTTCATATTGTTTAATGTTGTTTCATGTTACTTAATTTAATTCAATGTTGTATAATGGCCTAGAAAGTTATAGGAAAAAATAGAATTGAAAGAAAATATGAAACAAATTTTGTGAAATAGAAGTTATAGGGAAAAAATGGAATTTAAAAAAATATGAAACAAATTTTGTAAAATAGAAGTTATATGAAAAAAAAAATATGAATCAAATTTTGTAAAATAGAAGTTATAGGGAAAAAATAGAATTTAAAAAAAACTGAAACAAATTTTGTGAAATAGAAGTTATAGGAAAAAAAAATATGAATCAAATTTTGTAAAATAGAAGTTATAGAAAAAAAAAATAGAATTTAAAAAAAAAATTGAAACAAATTTTGTAAAATAGAATTGAAAAAAAATATGAAACAAAATTTGATTCATATGAAAAGGAAAAAAAGAAGTTTAAATTCATATAAAAAAAACTGTTAATACAACGGCTACTAGCCGTTATAATAAAAAAAATTCAAACTATTAGTGTCGGTTATAACCGACACTAATAGTAATTAAAAAATAAATTGCCTTTGAATAACTATTACTGTCGGTTATAACCGACACTATTAAAAAATCCTTCTTTAATGCTGTCGGTTATAACCGACAGCAATAGGAAAACATTAAAAAAAAAATAGCCAGCCCGGGGCTGGCTGGCTGGCCGAAAGTAGCCAGCCCTCCAGCCCTCCAACCCTCTCCGATCCCGTGGGGCCCTCCCAGATTCCAGAGCCCTCTGGCCTAGCCCTCGGTTGGAGACGGTTTTAGGGCTATTTTCGGCCCTCTGGCCCTCTGGACCCTTCGGTTAGAGATGGCCTTACAGTCTTTCATAACTACCATCACACATTTCATTTACCGCAGACTATAAATTTAGGCAAAAGGATGCCACCTTGTTTTCCAACTGCACCGAGAATATACCATCACATAGACCATTCAAATTAGAGACTTCTTAGGTATCCATTCTTCACATATACGTCGACATGTTATAGGGCATAAATCCATAGGGACGCCAATAAGTTTGTGAGAATATATGATCATGGATGACAACGCTGTACCTCGCACTGATATCCTCCCCCAATTTAGCACTTTATGACCCTGGAATTAGGCATTCCCACTATTCCCAGCTCAACAAGACAATACTGATAGTTAAACCAAAAACTGTTAACCTCTACGAAAAAAAAGTCCCCATGTTAATCTAGAGCACGTGCACTCCGTGTTGAATCTTTTGAAGTAATTTGCATCTAATCTGCTGATACCGTGTTCATCAATGATATCTCATTCAGTCCTCCAGTCACCTCCTTTACCAGCTTCTCCAAACAAAGTACTCTAAAAATATTCTACATAAAACGATGGTCACAAGAATCCTTGTCAAGCTGATCAATTCTTAGGCAACAAGCCACCACCCGCCCACCTTTTACAGGCTCACAAAAGCAGGTAGAATCTTTGAATCCTCTAACTAAAAGATTGACCTGACCTTGATATCAATCAGTTTATGCTTAAACTAATCGATAAACAAAAAAGACATGACAGGATTCCAGCATCATCTTGTGTCCAAACTAGCAATCAAACCAAAGGCACACTGCTCGAATTCCAAATATATATATTCTACACTATCAATAAGTTTTCTTTCTCACACATAATTAAGAGAAAGCCACATTAAACTCACTAAGCAACGATTATACAACAACATCCCTCAAAGAATTCAAATCCAACCCCAATTTTCCACCCAAGTTAAACACTAATTCCCCACATACAAAACCAAAGAAGCTCATATAAACAAAACCCAAATCGTAAAATTTCAATTCCAACACAAATTTCAAAACTTTATCATGTCAAATCAAAAGGGGCTGAGATAAATTCAAGTTTACCTCCACAGCAGAAGCAGCAAGAGAGAAGCATCAGAGTCTCTCCGCAGAGTCCAGCGACCATTCTATCTCTTCCATGAGCCTTTGGATTGGTCAAGTCCGCCGCTTTTCCGTTGACTTGGCCTCGTGGGCTATCCAACTGTTTGGCGGCTCCGCCGTCTTGGCCATCGAGCAGGTTCTGCTTGACTGATTTTTGTGATTCCTTCTCGCTTTTCATCCTCTGGAGGTTCCAGTCGAGCTTCCTCAGGTAATCGAGCTTGAAGGAGTCTCTGATCGTCGCCGACGGCCATAGATGCATGTCTCTCTCTCTTTTTGTGCACTGGTGATCTTCGACGACGGAGGAAATGGAGGGGACTGTATGTTTCGACAAGAAGAGGGACGGGTAATAATTGGCTCCCTGAGCAAAGTCAGATAATTGGCAGAACCGATAAGTTCTTCCCCAACGACGTCGTTGGCCTTCTTCATCTTGTTGACTAGATAATAACTTACTGATACTTTTATCACAAGTAAAATGTCTTATGTTCGACTTATGAAAATAACTATGAACTTGTTATCGATACCTGACAAAAAATCAAGAGTTATAGCTCACATTTTTGTGAAAAGAGGCAATTGTTGAGTTTATGCAAAGATATTACAAATGATTTAGAAGTGATCCAACCATTTTACAAGCCCCATAAGGATTTTTATTGAAACTTTAGGTTGAAAATTTGAAAATTCAAGAAAAATACTATTAGGGCTCAAATCAGAGTTATGAATTTTATGAAGCACGTGATGTGACAAAAACGCCAAGAAAATACAGTTTTGGGTAAATTACATAGTAACCCATCAGGTTTGAAGTCTATTACAACCTCATACAACATCTTTAAAACATTTCACTTTTATACATCAAGTACTATTTTATTTCAATATAATACATCCGTTAGATTTTTCATCCATTAATCCGTTAAATGCTGACGTGGCTGCCACATGGTTTTTGGTTTTTTAATAAATTTCTTTAGAAGATTTAGGTTTTAACAAAAAATTAAAAATTATTTTTTTGGCTACGTGGCACATATTTGGCAGTCACGTGGCACAAATGTGGCAGCTACATCAGCATTTAACGGATTAATGGATGGAAAATATAACAGATGTATTATATTGAAATAAAATAGTACTTGAAGTATGAAAGTGAAATGTTTTAAAGATGTTGTATGAGATTGTAATAGATCTCAAACATGAAGGGTTACTATGTAATTTACCCATATAGTTTATATAGTTTTTCAAAGAACTTAGTAAAACAAATAAAAACGGAAAGATAGCTCATAATTTTTGGGGAAAATGCTATTGTTGAGTTTTTTTCAAGATCTTTATATTTTAATTAATTATCACTTAACCAACCTTGTTACCGAGTTCAAATTTCCTTCCTCCTAAATAAGAATAGGATATGCCCATGAGTTAAAAAAAATAAAAAAATAAAAAAATATTTGTGATTATGTCTAAATTGAAATGAAAATTTTATTGTATAGTACAAAAATACACTCATGTAATAAATAATTTACGTGTTATGATATGAATAGACAACGAGTTTATGCTTTTGGTATGATATTGGTATCAATTTTTATTTACATGTAAAAAAGTAATAATTATAGCTTTTGACAGTGTTTCAACTTCATGCAATAATTTATCATTGAGACGAGAAAATTCCCTTCAGGACTAAAAGCAAGTGTCTAGATACTTTATGTAACGAAGGTTAATGTTATTCACACACTTATTTTTACCCTACACACCCTTGTTAATTTTTTTGTCATTAGTCTTCTTCGAGTTATTCGATCCAATAACTAAAAATTAAGAACATGTGTGAAAAATAAAAACGAGTGTGTGAATAACACTATCCTGTAATGAAATGTGGCCTATTGCATCGAGTGGATGGAGAAATTTTTAGTTGTGACGGAAACACAGATGGTACACCATGTGTTTTTATGCAAGTGGTGAAATTTTTTAATTTTTAAGTTATTAACCTTTTAACATATATAACTCACCATTTTTATAAGAATACGTGATATACTACCTCGTGTGATGGTCACACTGAAAAATCTCTCTGAGTGAATGGGCGTCCCCATTCTGTGGATTGGGGAATGGTCATGTGTGGTTTTATTGGGCATGGGATGTAAGGAAGGCTTGGAGATGGACAACGGTGCTAAGTAATGGGTTTGGATCATCGAGTGAATGAGACTTGGGAATGAGGATCCTATGGATCATCAAATCATATCCATTTATTGTAAATTGTGTGATCATTTTTCGTCAAGTACTAGCCATATTGAATTTTAAATAAAAATATTTAAAATAATTTCTGATCAAACGATGTACGATAAATGGATACGATTTGAGAATCTTCAGAATCCTCACAGAGAGGATCCGAAGAGGATCCTGATTCGAGACTTGGAGTATGATGATGAAGTAGAATTGACAGTGACGTGGAAAGACTTGGTCCGTCAGATAAATGCACGTGTTACCCTCGTTTGGTGGCCTAACTAGAGATGGTAAAGTGTAGTGATTAGCTCTTTAATTGCTTTTCCTCAAAGGCAAGTTAACTACCCCTTTTACTTAAAGCATAATAGTCAATACACTCAAACTTGTTACATTTAGAACCAGCGGGTATTGCTCCAGCAGTTAAAGTTTTTATCTTCAACTCATTGTATTTCGGATTTAAACTCTTTCTCTTCCTAGCGATTAGTGTAGAATATCGTACTAAATAAAAAGTTGTTACATTTAATATCAATCCCAATTAAAGCAAATAATAAGACCCACAAAAACAAAGTTAAAAACTACATTGCAATGCACCATATGACAACAGAAATGAATGCCACGTTGTGTACAATTATTTATCTTGATCATAACAGTATATTTACAGTGATGTTTTGCTACGATCACAACACTATCTGCAGCTCCAAAACCGATGAACGGCCTTCATGATCACTTCATCGACGGCGATCAAACACAGCCGGTCATGTGGAACTTTGATTCTTTGAGCATGTATACATATGAACACACACATATATGTCTTGATTAAGTTTGAACAACAATTAAATGCTGGTAGCTGCAGACGATGAGATTAGATAAGGGTTGCAAGTTCAGGGTGTGAAAAACCAAAACCCAAGTGAGAGGGACCGAGGGGATTTTCGTACCTGTAACTTTGGAATGTATATCGCTCAAGCTCAATGAGGTTTTCATACCTGAAGTTGTGGAGCAACGTGGGTGTCCAGAGAAAACCAAAGTGAGTGAAAAGGAAGCAGACGAGGTTGGTGATGGGTGCCATAAGAAAATTTGATTAATTTGTTGGTAATTTTTTGCAGTTGAAGTCTGAAAAGGAAGTGGCAGGCAGTGTTTGCTATATAGAATTGCAAGTGCGGTGGTTGCTTGACTTTGAAGTATTGCATTTGCTTGCCGTGCTACCACAGGCAATCATAGAAGCGTGCACACCACAGCACTGTTTGCTTTGCTTATTTGCTTTTCAGATAGGTCTCCCTCAGTTAATTACATCAATGTGAACATTTTTATCTCGAGTTAACTGCAGTTTACCCCCACAAGTTTTGGTGTCGATTGCAAAATGAGCCACGATATTTTAATTTTGTGCATTTTACACCACCTAATTTCTGAATTGTACCAACTAACCTCTCTTTCTATTCTACTATTAAATTAGATGTTAATTGCTGATGTGGCATATATTGGGCTTGCATTTTAAGCACACGTTCATAAAAGAATTAAAAGAGTAAAAGAGTATGACTAAACATTGAAATTGAAGGTCAACGGGTGCTTAAAATGTGAGTCTAGTCTATGTTGCATCAACGTCCACTTAGAAGGTGAAATTGACAAAGAGGTTAAATTTGTGCAATTCAAAAACCACGTGGTGTGAAATACAAAAGTTAAAACCTCGTGACTCATTTTGCAATTGACTTCCAGACCTTACTGTGTAAAGTACAGTTATATATTCTATTAATGCGTGAGAGAGATAGAGAGCAACAACTATTAAACATGATGTGTGAGAGTTTTAATCGTGGAAGAGAGTATTCAATACAGCAGCTTGGTGATCATGCCACTCTCACAAAAGGGCTTGAAAACTTTGAGTTTTAATGATAAGGACAAAATAAAGGGTAAAGTGAATAGTACCAGGATTGACTTTTTAGTGTAAAAATATGGTTTTTCATTAAAGTGAACAGCACCGGATGTTTTTTGTTAAAGTTCCCTTAACTTTAATGTGGTTGCTAATGTGAAATGATGTTATCAATCCACCTATTACATAATATTACCTGGCAATGTTACGTTCAATTCAAAATATTCTCCACATGCAAACAGTGTGAAGTAATATGTTTATGATATGTTTAAAATGGCAAGAGTAAGGATATTTCTTATGTTTATGTCACTCTTTCGGCCCTTTGGGGTGGAACTCCTGGAATCCAGCAGCTAGTCTCAACTCTCAAGAGACCCAGTGGCAATTCAAACTCAAAGTGGGTGAGGGTAAGATAGTATTTTGAAGAGCTACATGGCTAACCTCACTTGATCTGGTAAAACTGTCTACGAGCAATTAGGGCCATCTTCAACTTGTTGGGTTCAACAACAAGAAACAAGATATAAGCCACAAGAGCCATGATCCATATCAGTCGTGTTTTGAGCTTCAATGTAACGTGTCGCGTTTGAAATTTTATTTTCAGTAAGATCGATCTTACGGTTTAACATTATTCTCAGCTATTAAACTTCCTGTTTTTTAGGATGGCAGAGGATTGAACATTGCCCCTTAGGCCTGAAGGTAAAATACGAGAATCTCACTATTACCGATCCTTGCATCTACATCTTAACCTTAATTAAATTTACAAGAACAATTAAAAAAATGAAAAAAAAACCCAAAAATTAAGTTAAATATAATATTACAGACACCAGGCCCTTTATCCAAAAGATCCCCATTTTTGGTAAATGGGGACTAATTGTAAGGCTCACTCTACATCGAACTTCAATGATCCGAATTGTCTATTTTGTAAGTCTCGATTCATAGATCATCCTTTCAGAAATTCAATTTAATCTGAGATCATTTGCTAATTTAATTACCACGATGAAATTTCAATGTTTCTTAGAAAAGAAAGTATTAGTCAATTTCTTTGTACTTAATTAGACGCCTCAAATATTTTCAATTTGGTTAATATTTTGCAAAGATAATTTATGAGGTGCAACTTGAAAAATAGACGATCAGCTTGTTAAAATTCGGTGTGATAGGGACTCCACAACTAATTTCCATTTTTATAAAAATTGGAGATTTCTTCCCTTCAAAGGTTTCCTTACAGCCATATAGATATTGGAAGACAAGACGTCCACATTCATGGATTTGAGGTTTCATGAGGTACAAAAATTCGCGTATGTCACACTAACAGCTATATACATACATACATACATACATATATATATAATATATATAACATGTTATATATATATATATATATATATATATATATATATATATATTATGTGGTGTGTGTTGGGAGAGATTAGATTTTGTTGTTGGGAATCTTGGGAAAAGGGTGAGATAGTGGATTGTAGTATAGTGTAGAAGGAAAGCGAAGGCAACGAGTTGTATGGTGTGTTGCGCCAACGGACAAATATAGCAGACTCCATGACTTGATCAACCAAATCAAGCATCCCAAGATTTGCAAGATTATGAATATCTCTAAACGGGAGTGGTTGAGGATTTGAAGAAATATCTTACATCGAAAAAAGTTTAGAAAACTTATAAACATCTGAGTCATTGATATTATTGGCATGAGACTGTAATTTTATCTTCTTTTATAGTAACAGAGCAAATTTGCCACGTGTAAAACCAACATTTCACGTATGCTCCACACCGCTTAATTCCTCATCGAAGAAATAAGGCAACTGGATACAATTCCTTTTAACAACATATGCATTTGGATTATTCGTCCATATTAAGCTTCATGTTTCGCTACAGATAAGGTCTTAAGTTATTTCAGAGCGAAAAGTTAAACAAACCTTACAAGTGCTTAAAGCGGAGTTGTGCCAAACTCCCCATGTTTCCACCCTTATTTGCCTTTGGTTTCTAGATGCAAAACTAGTATTCATTCACCTTCTGCTTTTTACAGTGCCCAACCCACTAAGCTTCAAGTGGATCTCACTTAGCCATCATATAGCAAGCAAAAGTGACCCCAAAATTATAAAAGCACTTGTCTTCAAGCATGATATGAGTAGAAAGCAGAAAACAAGGAGAAAATCTTGAGAAAATGGCAATGACATTGAAGTAAATTCAAAGGCAAGTACGTGACAATATCTACAAATTCATGGCCTCTCAGCCCCTTTTTCTGATGGAAATTTAATTGAGAGATGACCAAATGAAACCTTCATACACAAAGCATAAGTTAAGCACAATTAAATATAAATATTACCCTTCATAATAATTAACATTGTTTTCCAAATCCCATCACATTCTCAGAAAATATTTCAATTCAAACACTCGGGTGGCTCCTGAATGATCCAAGGGCCTTGGCAGCTCCTGCTCTCAAGATAAATTGGTGGTAGAAGGCTGCAATTGCTGCTCCGATGAAGGGTCCAACCCAGAAAATCCACTGCAACCAACAAGAGAGTAGACAAGAACATATATTAGCGAAAATTCTGAGGAGCTCCGGAATATCTTACGTTATATAAAATTAAATAATAATAATAATAATAATATAAAAGTGATGAATAATTAATATTGGAATACATACTTGGTCATCCCAAGCCTTGTCTTGGTTGAAGATAACAGCAGGTCCAAGACTTCTAGCAGGGTTGATGCCAGTGCCAGTGATTGGGATGGTGGCCAAATGAACAATGAACACAGCAAACCCGATTGGCAGTGGAGCCAAAACCTTCAAAATTCACAACAGTCCACAATTTAGCCAGCTAGAATACGAGAGAATCCACCATGTATCCGGTTGTATTCTTTCCTGTCTCTCTCAGACACGTGACATTAGAGATAAGACACGAGAAGATATACAACCGGAGATAACTAAGAATCTCCATCGGAATATATACAAGTGGAAAACATACAAAAAATGTAGACAACAGGACAGTTTGGAACAGGATGGAAGAGTTGGAAAATGGACTAAAACGGTACATAGAAAAGACATGCCCCGTGATTGTGAAGCTAAATAAAAACAAAATTAGACAACTTTCATTCATTTCTGACTCAGCATATCAAATGTTTGGAACTGTTTAACACCAGAAACAAATCAGACGTTAATCAACTTTTTAATATTAAACAATAACTAAACTAGTGGTTTTGAGGTTGTTAAACGAGGTTTATGTGAAGCACCCACAGATTGACGTTGAGACCTCGAGTGAGTCATGATTCATGACGATACTAGAAGAAGGCATGGCACGTTAGGAATGATGGAAAGGTGAAAAGTTGGGAGAAAATAATTGAAAAAGTTGAAGCAACTTGTTGAAAGCAAACAAAATTAGGTGACTTCCGCATCTATTGCATTGCATGATACCCTGAAATGCTAACCAGAAAAAAACAGTTGGCCCAGCTCATTCTTTTCACCCTACTCATAAGGGAAATGCTATTTCTTTATGCTAGGCCAATGAGAGGGAAAGGGTTTGAATCGAGATGCAGCGAGTTGAAGAGAGAGACCCTAATTCACCAAGGCAATCCACCACTTGCGAAATGCAATTCTCAACAACGTATCTTTTGCCATGAGACTTGAAAAGAGTTTTTGGTTCTAACAATTTCAAGGGCAACATCTAATATTTGACGAGATTGTGCTATATAGCCATTGCACTATCCCAAAGGAACAGTAAACTCAAGATTTTGCCTCTAATACTTGGTTCCGAGATCTCATTTTGGATATAAGCACGATATAAACACCAAAAAACACAAGAATATGATCCTTTTAAGAACATCTATATGTGATGAACATATGTACAACAAAACCCTAAGGGGGCGTTTGTTGCGCCGGACTATCTCGGACTGGACTAGCTTCAAGGACTAAGCTGGACTGGCTTAGACTAGACTAAGCTGGACTAACTTAGTGAAGTGTTTGGTGCAGTGTTGGACTAAGAAGCGGATAATAACAAATTTTAATATTATATTATTTAATATATAAATTATTAATATTTTATTATAATCTCGGTGACCGGAGATGACGAGGAGTCTATCGGGAGTGATTGTTGAGCATGACGAGGACGAGAGAGGATAGTCTTAGCTAGTCCCATGGTTATTGGGGGGTCTCGCTAAGACCTCTTAGTGAAGAGTTTTGTCCATGCTAGTCCCCTTTAGTCTCATTAATGTTAGTCCCAGCATGAAACAAACACAGTATTGGACTAACAGATAGTCCAGTCCAGTCCCACTTAGTGAGGGCAAACAAAAACGCCCCCTAAAGA